TGAAGGGTGTAGCTGAGTGCCTTTGCTCTCTCTCTCAGGTTTCCGTCTGTCAGGAGATGCTGACGGAGTTCCGTAATGCCGTATCCTGTAAGAAGAATTCTAGATCCCGTCGTCGCAGACCCCTGACCAGCACTGGGGGCGGAGTCCTACGTCACCCATCCCGCCTGACTCTGGCCGGTCCCCGCCCCATCCGCCTGATTCGAGAGATGCGTCTCAGCAACGGGAAACTGTACAGTGGCGCCGGCCCAATGACGGGCGGGTTGGCAGGGGTCGGGATGGGAGGATGCCCCGATCTGGGCCCGGGGCCACAGAGGCTCCTGGAGGACCCGCTGGGCACCAAAACCTCTAGCACCACCCCCCCTCCTGCGTCAGCCCTAGTGGCTCCGCCCGCCCCCCCGCGCAGCTTCCTGCAGGCCTGCAGTCACGTACGCATCTGCCAGGAGTGCCGGCGGATCCAGAGCCTGCGACCGGTCGCGCTTACCCCACCCCCTCCCCCTCCGCCCTCCTCGTCCTCCTCCGCCTCCTCCTGCTCCCGGGTCCCGCCCTCAGTGGCGATGACAGGCCTTCACCCCCGTCACAGCGCTCACCATCATCTCCATTATCACCACGGCTCCATGTCGCTGCCCCGCCTTCCGCCACCCCCTCCCCCGATGCCGACGGACAGAGCTGACAGCGACGGGGGCGTGGCGAGCCCGCAGCGGTACAAAAACAAACCTGTGCCCCCGCCCCGGCCGCTGCCCCCCAACAAGACCCCGACACACCCACCGACAGACTTACTCAGCGGACACGACTGAGCCTAAGGATGCTGTCTGTGGGGTCAAAGGTCACAAACACATTGACCCCAAAGCTGTACTGGTCTAAACTGGCTCTTCAGCAGGGGTCAAAGGAGGAAACCATTCTGACCCCTTTGTGGGGGTCATCCATTAAAGCAAAGACACGTCAGTGGACTGCACCAAACCTTTACGGGGGTGGGCGGATTGACCCGCTCTGAGGATGGAGGACTCCTCACGGACTTTTTACCCTTTTGGATTAAAGCAGACAAACAGGAAGTGACTGTCTGAGGCCGACCCACCCTCAGCCAATCGTCTCGCTCCATGCCGAGCAACGAGGACTCAGACAGACTGAGGTTTGATACTGATCCAGGTGTTTGTATAGACGAAACGCTACAGATACACACACTCACACAAAGTGGAGAAGAAGAAAAACTAAGTCTGTGATTGTATTTCCTGTCCTGTTGTCCAATCAGAGGAGCTTCTCCTCCTCCTCGTCCTGATCCTGAAGCTGATGTCACAGCGATCTGATCGCCGAGTTGTCTCATTTCTAAAGGTCACCTGTCAGCTGCCGGCGGCGCTGAGCTCCATCGCTGAATAATTTGGACCTGCTGTACAAAAAAACAACCTGTTGACTTTTTCCCTTTTTTACTATGAAATGAACGAACAGCTGCTGCAGTTGTTACACACATCTGTATTTGTTTTATCATTTAATCATTTTATTTGTATTTTATAACATCATTTTTATATTTATATTTTATTTTATTTTTGTTATCATTTTTTTCCTTTTTGTAAAAAAGAAAATATAAAGTTACAATTACAAAATATATAATTATAGTTTGTTGACATGCAGGAAGTGAAGCAGCAGCTGAAGAGAGAGTGCGTGTGTGTGTGCGTGTGAGGTGCTGTCTGGTGTGTGTGTGTGTGTGCGTGTGGTGTGTGGTGTTCTGTGTTTTCTCGTCAGCTATTGTGTGTGGTGTGTGTGGCGGGCGTGTTGCGTCGTGTGGCGTGTGGGCAGTGTGTGTGCGTGCGTGCCAGCTGTGCGTCCGTGTGCGTGTGTGGGTGTGTAGTGTGTGGTGTGTGCGTGTGTGCGTCGTGTCGTGCATGTGTGTGTTTCCTGATGTTTTCCCCTCAGATCAGCAGGACATTATTGATTCTCTTGTTATCATTATTATTATTATTGATATTGACTTGTGGGGTGACTGTAGGAGGGGTGCCGCCCTCTGATGTTCAATATATAGACTCATGTTTGGAATAAATAAATAAAAAACTGAAAGGTGCGTTGAGGTGCCCCGGGTGGAGGAGGTGAAGGTGGGGTTGGGCTGCTGGTCACGGAGCAGCACACAGGGTTTGTTTTGTTGTTTGATTCCCAATATTCCATGTTTTTGTGATCAGCTGTTCATTCAGAACTCGAGGGATGGGGAATTTGTTTAACGCCGGTTAGGAATGTCCTGTGGACGCGCACATCCAGTGTAACAGCAGCCACGGATGCAGCGTGAGCCGGGTGGACGAGGTTGAGTTCCTGGTGTCTTTCAGCTTTAACTCTAATCCTGCATTTTTATTTTATTTGTGCACGTTCTCCATCAAAGCCAGAACCCAGCAGAGAGCGTTTACATCCAGCCGCGTTGCCACGACAACAGCAGGTTAGTGACTGTGAGCAGAAATGAGCCCCGTCACATGTGACGGGACAGAAATCACCTCTGACATCATTCATGAGGACACCTGCAGAGATGCTGCAGTAACAGAGTGCAGCCAGCAGAGGGCAGTGCAGACTAAGGAAAGCCACAGCTGAGGCAGGCGTGTTCACATCAGCAGGTAAGAATGTGGAAGTTGGAGCGAGTCGTTCCTTAATGTGACATTTATTTATTTATTTGTTTCACACATGGTTCAACAGTATTTCATTCCCTACTTACAAATCCTCCTCCCCATTAATATAGCGCTGCACCCATGAGTGAAAAGCAGCAAACGCAGCTCTGTGTCCTTTAAAAATAATCGTTAGGATGGATTTAACGTGGTCCTGACCTGTTCCTATCAATGATAATGATTCTTCATTCAAAAATAAGGTGTGATGCACAAACAGTGTAGGAAACTCAGTTCAGCTGGTTGTGCTTCAGAGCAGATTTCATGACTGGGTTATCTCTGGAGGTTATGAGGTTTTCCTCAAAAGATAATTCAGATGATGAAGTTCATTAAAAGAACTGAAACTTCTGCTCTTTAGCTGTGTGATGCAAACGGGTCTTCATTTAACCCCGAGTGGCCTCGGCAGGAGGAAAGAGTCCAGCTTTATTGGACGCTGCAGAAGTCTGATGGGCGTGCTTACTGAAAGGTCTTTTTCTTGTAATACATGCACTGACTCTCCGTCTGACACAAGCCGTCCACACAACAATAATAAAGACTGAAACAAAGAGAAACCAAAGTCAGACTGACTGTGGAAACTCACTGACACTAAACTGACTTAAGATCAAGTTTATTTCTAAAATCCACAAAGACAGTAAACAGTTTACAGCACTTTTCTTCATCTTCTCCATCACGCTGCCTGTGAGCACTGTCATCAAACTCCCCTGAATCAGTGAGAATGAGGACTTCCAGCGTAGCAGCTGCTAACATGTTGGAGAGTTTTAAAGCCTGCGTAAGCTACCAGGTGTACCTAATGAAATGGCAGATGCATGTTAACTTGACAGCTATGGATGAAAATGTACCTGAACTTCCCTCCACCAGGCTGATGTTAGTGAGAAACATGATGGAGTGATCACAGCCGTGGGAACAGGGTCATAAATAAAACCATGTGACCATGTGATCAGCTGTGACTGGAGCTTTTTGATGGCTGCCCGCTGTGGCGTGGTGTTGTGACAGCGAGCCGGGCTGGGACAGTTGCGTTTTTCAGTGAGGAGAGAAGCCGTTAACCCGAGGAGGCGCTCGACCGTGTTCACGCCTTCCTCCTCCTCCTCCTCCTCTCCTGTGGGTTTGTGTACCTGTGTGAGGGAATCAGACGGCGCTGCTGGGAACAGGATGGACGATGCTGACTCGCAGGTTTCAGCAGAAAATGTTGCACAAACAAATTTTCCAAAGAGCAGGAAGTGACATCAGCAGGCTGCTCCTGTGAGTGCCTCCTCCTGCTGGTCGACGCCCACGGCTCGTTCGCTTACAGTCACTGGTTTCTATAATAGCAACATGACAGGTTACGGCGTGGAGGACGTGAGTCACAGACGTTTGTGTTTGACAGCAATAATAAAATGTTTCGCTGCGTCCTCTGCAGTGAAAACCACCAGACAAGCATGATGTCATCTTTATTCATCATCTGTCATTTTTTATTTTGGGCTCCTGGAGGCTGATATGGCAACAATAATACAAATATAATTATTAATAATAAGGCTCAAGCCGCGGGTCCCGGACTCGAGCTCGGGCTGTACGGCTGAGAGCGGCCGGCCCGGGCTCGAGTCCGCCGTCTTTACCGCACGTCTCTCTGCTCCTGACACTTCTTCACTGCATCTGTGAATAAAGCTAAGAACAGAAAACATCTCCGCCTGCAGATTCAGCGTTCTCGGTGGCGCTTTAATAGAAACGGTCTCAGACACATAAATATCTGAACACATTTCTGTCCTGAGACAAAGCACAGGTTTGAAATGTGGCAGCTTCAGCTCAGAAACCAAACGTGGGATCATCAGCAGCTCAGATTATCTGTCTTTAGAGCGTCGCAGGTTTCATCTTCACGATGAAGATGATGATCTACTGAAACTCCTGCAAACAGTAAAACAATCCAAACACAGCTGCCTGCAGGTCAAAGGTCAGCCCGCTGCGCTGTGGTGAGGTCACAGTTGGTACTTTTTTATCACACACGTGTACTTCTACTTCACTGAAGAGTATATGTACTTCTGCACCACGTGTCATGTGACCCACGCAGGGTGTGGCTTAGTTCCAGTTCAGCTGAATCCTCTCGTATCGGCTCTTCACACAGCCGTGACCACAGCTCCTCTTCATGTGTGATCATCTGATCACAAACGCGATGCGCAGACGTCTGTCGACGTTCGGAGCTGCAGATCTGAGATCTTGTCAAAACTGACAAAATGAAAATTTGCTATCAGATTTGAATCCAGCACCAAAACCATCACAAACATCTGACTGACAGCAGCTTCATGTTTCAGCACGGCAACGATCCAAACACGCCGCCAGCGCAGGGAAGCACGCCTGGACAGAAACACACGGGGGAACTATCAGAGCCTCAGCATCACTGAAGCTTCATCCTGACAGCGAACACGCCGGCGTCCTTCAGGAAGCCCGGAGAACTGTTCCCGAGGATCCTCACAGAGCTCCAGATTAAAGTTGCTCACAGCAAATATTCAAACTCTGTTTTTAACTAAATACACATGAATGTCTGAATAAATCTCTGCACGTATTTCATACTTTACTGCAAAACAGAAAGAAATGAGGGGCAGATGAAGACTTTTGCACAGCACTGTACTAGAAGGAACCAGAAGGAACCCAGGAAGATGAAAGCGTGGTGAGCAGGAGACCTTTGATGACACGAGCTTTGAAGGTTTTCTGCAGAATTATGAAGAAACAGATCGAAGGTCCGACTCTGCATTTCACGTTAAATTGGTGCAGCTTACTGAACACGACACACATGCTGGCTTTAGATTGCGACACTGTCAGATTCAAAGGATGTGACAATGACTGTAAAAGGCAATAAATCAGTGACACGCCCCCTCAGGCTGTCAGTCGGTGATTAATCACACGCATCATTTCCTCAAATATGCAAATACAGACGTCACATGATGCAACACTGCTTCCAGAAATAAATGTGGTGTAATGATTCTGTAAGTTCGCCTTTTTCAGGAGAAGCTGGTGGGAGTCATGACAAGAGCAGGTGAAAGGTCACGATGAATGTGGTGTGCACGCAGCTGTGAAGCTAAAGATGGAGTGCACATTAAAGGCACTGGGCCTCGCTCCGTCTGCTGCAGCCGCTCAGCGATGCTGCGGCGCTGGGATGGCACATGTTTGCTCAGAGAGACCAGTTTGTTTCCCCAGAGGAGAAACTGGGACTGCTGTGGAGGCCAGCAGCAATAACCTGAGCTCAGGCTCATATTAATCTGCTGCTTCGAAGAATAATTCTGACCTCAGTTCAGGAGATGAGCCTTGGTGACGTTTTATTAGGTGCAGATGATGATGCGGTAACTTTGCTTCACATTTTCATTTCTTTGATGAGGGGACACGTTCTCAGATGATAAATCATAAGCATGAGTTCATATCTCAAGTCTGAAGCTGCAGACATGGATGTAAATGTCCCTGCGCAGCATCCAAAGCCTACGACTTTCTTCACCTCCACCTTTGGTGGGAGACGCCCCTCCCGGCTGCTGCAGTCAAATACAACAGGGAAACATGGCGGCTCCTCAAACGGCAGACCCGCTCCTCAGCATTTTAGTAAATGATAACTTTAATTATAGGATGTGTATTCATGAGTACAATATCTTTTTTCTATAAACTCAACTAATTATTGAGCGTACCTTTAAACAGCTATCTGCTCTCAGAAGGAAATCCAACAGCAGCCGCCTTCACAGCCAGTGACTTTCAGAAAGACCGTCAAAGCAGGATTTAAAAATTAGGAGTGGCTCAAGACTTTTGCACAGTATTTTCTGTCAAGTTAAATGACTCTTGTGTTTACATGTTCTAATAATTAGCGTATCCAGCAGTTGAAGGTCTTCAGATTGGTTTTACTCACCTGGACAATCACCTGTCTGCGGTAGAGCTTCATCACGT